TTAATAATTAGTTTTAATTATTGAGTCTAAAATACTATATAATTCTGTATTTTAGTTATGCTGAATTTATTGTCCTGCTTTTATTGTTATTTGATATCTGATGCTTAAGATGTCATCGCCCCAAAGAATAATTTGAATTTTTTCATTGTGAAATGGACTTACAATCAAGTTAGTTATATTCCCCACAAGTTAATTCAGATGTGTGTGTGTGTGTGTATATGACAGGATAGTGGGCTTAATTGATAATATTGAAAGGATAGAGTGATAATATTGAAAGGATAGAGTGATAATATTGAAAGGATAGAGTGATAATCTTTGAAGGATAGAGTGATAATATTTGAAGGATAGAGTGATAATATTTGAAGAATAGAGTAATAATATTTGAAGGATAGAGTGATATTATTGAAAGGATAGAGTGATAATATTTGAAGGATAGAGTGATAATATTTGAAGGATAGAGTGATAATCTTTGAAGGATAGAGTGATAATATTTGAAGAATAGAGTAATAATATTTGAAGGATAGAGTGATAAAATTGAAAGGATAGAGGATTAAAATTGAAAGGATTGAGTGATAAAATTGAAAGGATAGAGTGATAATATTTGAAGAATAGAGTGATAATATCTGAAGGATAGAGTGACAAAATTGAAAGAATAGAGTGATAATATTTGAAAGATAGAGTAATAAAATTGAAAGGATTGAGTGACAATATTGTAAGGATAGAGTGATAAAATTGAAAGGATGGAGTGATAAAATTGAAAGGATAGAGTGATAATATTTGAAGGATAGAGTGATAATATTTGAAAGATAGAGTGATAAAATTGAAAGGATAGAGTGATAATATTAGAAGAATAGAGTGATAAAAGTGAAAGGATAGAGTGCTAAAATTGAAAGGATAGAGTGATAAAATTGAAAGGATAGAGTGATAATATTGAAAGGATAGAGTGATAATATTTGAAAGATAGTGATAAAATTGAAAGGATAGAGTGATAAAATTGAAAGGATAGAGTGATAATATTTGAAGGATAAACTGATAATATTTGAAGGATAGAGTGATAAAATTGAAAGGATTGAGTGACAATATTGTAAGGATAGAGTGATAAAATTGTAAGGATAGAGTGATAAAATTGAAAGGATAGAGTGATAATATTGAAAGGATTGAGTGATAAAATTGAAAGGATAGAGTGATAAAATTGAAAGGATAGCGTGATAAAATTGAAAGGATAGAGTGATAATATTGAAATGATAGAGTGATAAAATTGAAAGGATAGAGTGATAATATTGAAAGGATAGAGTGATAAAATTGAAAGGATAGAGTGATAATATTGAAAGGATAGAGTGAACAGCCAAATAATTTCCTCAAATGGATGTTGTTTACTATTATTATTATTATTATTATTATTATTATTATTATTATTATAAGCTGTTGTTATGATCTATAATTCATTTAATACTTTTGCAAGGAGCACATCGATATTTTTGGAGAAAACGATGACCAAATTCCAAACAAATCACAATTAAGAATACAATTTTTATAAATTAAGTAATAGCTGCAGAGATTAATCAGAAGCAAATTAGTAAGAATCAAAAAGAGCAGATTTTTATAAAGCTGGAACCAACAAATTGTTGACTAATTCATGGGAAAGAGACCTATAATTGTAATAAAAATAGAATAAAATCTGACAGCAAAGAAAGGCCTCTCTGACACTCTCTCCACCTCTTGACAACAAGAGAAACCCTCAAAGTAACAGCTGGGAAAAAGGTCATTCATTCCCAACCAATCACTGTTGTCTCCTGGAATGCTGACCAATCAAATATTTTCCCTCCTTTCTGCACCTCAACCAATCAGAACATGAGACTCCAGATGGAGACGTTTCTCTATCTTCAGGCTTGGAAACAGAAAGTGTCCCGCTTCAGTTCCAACCAATCAAATTGCAGCGTTCATTCCTTGCTTCCTTGACTGACCTATAGGATGCTAAATAACTGGCTTAAAGGGCCAATCACAGGATGAACTGCATTATATGAGTCTCTACCAGGGATGAGCCAACTTGGGCCTTCCAGGTGTTTTGGACTTCAACTCCCAGAATTCCTAACAGCCTCAGGCCCTTTCCTAAGGAAAGGGCCTGAGGCTGTTAGGAATTCTGGGAGTTGAAGTCCAAAACACCTGGAAGGCCCAAGTTGGCCCATCCCTGGTCTAGACTGACCATGCAATGCAGTTTCAAATGGCAAATCTATGTATTTCTTCATAGATCACAGATGAATATAATAATATAATAATATAATATAATATAATATATTTTATATACATATAATATTTGAACTAAACATATGCACATGGCCTTATAATAATAATATAATATTTGCACATTGCCTTATAATAATAATAATAATAATATTTATAATATAATGTGATACAATATAATAATAATAACAATAATAATAATATGATATTATAATTACATATTTTATATTACAGGAGCCCCCGGTAGTGCAGTGGGTTAATATAATATAATATAATGCAATGCAATGCAATGCAATGCAATGCAATAATATAAATTAATGTAATATAATATATATTTATATACATATAATATTTGAACTAAACATATGCACATGGCCTTATAATAATAATAATATTTATAATATTATAATGTGATACAATATAATAATAATAATAATAATAATAATAATAATAATAATAATAATAATAATATGATATTATAATTACATATTTTATATTACAGGAGCCCCCGGTAGTGCGGTGGGTTAAAGCGCTGAGCTGCTGAGCTTGTTGACCGAAAGGTCACAGGTCCGAATCCTGTGAGCGAGGTGAACTTCCGCTGTCAGCCCCAGCTTCTGCCAACCTAGCAGTTTGAAAACATGCAAATGTGAGTAGATCAATAGGTACTTCTCTGGCGGGAAGGTAATGCAGGCCACATGACCCTGGAAGTGTCTACGGACAACGCCTGCTCTTTGGCTTAGAAATGGAGATGAGCACCACCCCCCAGAGTCGGACACAACTGGACTTCATGTCAGGGGAAAACCTTTACCTATTTTATATTACATGTAATATTACTAATAATATAACAATATAATGGTATCGTACAATATAGTAATATACAATACTGACAGTGTACTATGCTAATAATATAATATATTGTATGTATATATATCGGGATGAGAAGGGCGGCATATAAATGTCGTCAATAAATAGATAAATAAATAAAATGAATAACACTATGGTAACACAATTTGGGGAAAAAATTGTCTTCCTGGTTTGAAAGTCTTAATTTCCTGTTGAACTGGCACTTAGTTTGAAAGTAGTTGTTATCCTACGGAAACTTTGTTTTTGTGGCTGGCACAAACTAGGTTGAATTGGTTGAGACTCTATGAAATAGTCATTGAAAAACTAGAGCAAAATGTGCTACAGCAGGATGCCCCTCTCGCAAACACAAAGTTTTGGCACTTTAATAAATTTTGTCCGTTCTTTTCTGGTAGAACCAATTAGGAGATGACATAGAATCATAGAGTTGGAAGAGACTTCGTGGGCCATCCAGTCCAACCCCATGCCAAGAAGCAGGAAAATCATGTTCAAAGCACCCCTGACAGATGGCCATTCAGCCTGTTTAAAAGCCTCCAAAGAAGGAGCCTCCACCACACTTCGGGGTGGAGTAATGAAAGGGTCTTTGAGTGAAATTTACAAATGCTAAGCAAGGGGCTTTGAATGAAATCCACAGCAAAAGAGAAATATACCCTTTATCTATAGAAAAGGAACAACACGGAAGAAAATGTTTTTAAGAAACAAGATGTGACATGTAGAGATCATACAAGCCTACATAGGAAGTGGTTGTGTTGTGGTTAAGTTCAAAGGTTGTGGTTAAGCGCAGAGTCTGCAGGTACAAGAAGGTACTTTCCATCAAAAGGTAAAGGGAGAGGGGCTGGAAAGAGAGTACTTTCCATGACCTATTACTTGAATATAAAACTCAGCAGAAACAGAGGAGGGGTGCGGCAGTCTTTGAAAGCACAAACAGAAGTGTTTCTGTCCGTCTCATGTTGATCAGCTTGATTAAATGGTGTCTTGCATGAACCAATTGGACTCTGTGGATTTCTTCGAAAAGGGACCCCGCACCCTAAACCCGTGATCCCTTACAGGGGCAGAGAGTTCCACTGTTGAATAGCTCTCACAGTCAGAAAGTTCTTCATAATGTTCAGATGGAATCTCTATTCCTGTAGTTTGAAGCCATTGCCCCACATCCTAGTCTTCAGGGCAGCAGCAAACAAGCTTGCTCCCTCCTCCCTGTGGTTTCCTCTCACATATTTATATATGGCTATCATGTCTCCTCTCAGCCTTCTCTTCTTCAGCCTAAACATGCCCAGCTCCTTAAGCCGCTCCTCATAGGGCTTGTGCTCCAGACCCTTGATCATTTTAGTTGCCCTCCTCTGGACACATTCCAGCTTGTCAATATCTCCCTTCAACTGTGGTGCCCAGAACTGGACACAGTATTCCAGGTGTGGTCTGACCAAGGCAGAATAGAGCATGGGTAGTATGACTTCCCTGGATCTCCTATTGATGCAGGCCAAAATCCCACTGGCTTTTTTAGCTGCAGCATCACATTGTTGGCTCCTGTTGCGTAATGTCATCTGAGCTGGTATAGCCCAGCTTCCTAATGTTCGGAATCGCTTGTTTTTAAAGAAATCAGAGTATTATTTTGCATTGCCAAAGTGATGCAATCTCACTCAACTGCAGAAAAGGTCACTGTGTTCCTGCAGCGAAAGCTTGCAGTCTTGCAAAATAAACAACTCCCTGGTTGTTCAAAAAGGATACGGACTCCAGCATCTGTTTTGGTTTGTTTTTATTATTATTTAAGTAGTATTAGATTCACATGAGAAGACAAACAATGCATAGGAAGTTTTGTTCTATTTTTTTTTTGTTATCTTATAAATAAAGTGCAAAGGAGGAAACCATGAAAATAAACAAAACCTGGCCCCCGGTATTTTAAAAAAAAACCCTCTAAAATCAGGACAGTAAACAAAGAACAACACTCAGAAAACAGGAGAAATACAGACTGGAAACAATGAGGGCCAGCTAACAACTCCTAACAAAGGATTCCCCCAGTCAGGAGGCAGCCAGGCTTTGAAGCTGCAAGGCCATTCAGTGCAAATCAATGCAGCCAATTGCAGCATGCAAATTTCCCTCCAAAAGAGAAGAGTTCTTTCTCCCATGACAATCAGGGCCAGCTAACACCTCCTAACGAAGGATTTCCCTCAGGCAGGAAGCAGCCAGGCTTTGAAGCTGCAAGGCCATTCATTACTAATCAAGGTGGCCAATTGCAGCATCCACACTTCCCTCCAAGAGAGAAGAGTTCTTTCTCCCATGGCAATCAGGGCCAGCTAACACCCCCTAACGAAGGATTTTCCCCAGGCAGGAAGCAGCCAGGCTTTGAAGCTGCAAGGCCATTCAATTCTAATCAAGGTGGCCAATTGCAGCATCCACACTTCCTTCCAACAGAGAAAAGAGTTCTTTCTCCCATGACAATCAGGGCCAGCTGACACCCCCTAACAAAGGATTTCCCCAGGCAGGAAGTAGCTAGGCTTTGAAGCTGCAAAGCCATTCAATGCTAATCAAGGTGGCCAATTGCAGCATCCACACTTCCCTCCAACAGAGAAGGGTTCTTTCTCCCATGACAATTAGGGCCAGCTAACACATCCTAACAAAGGGTTCCCCCCCAGGCAGGAAGCAGCCAGGCTTTGAAGCTGCAAGGCCATTCAATGCTAATCAAGGTAGTCAATTGCAGCATCCACACTTGCCTCCAACAAAGAAGAGTTCTTTCTTCACACACATTATTCCACACACACACACACACACAGATTTCACTTGCCTACTTTCCAACAGACCTCACAATCTTTGAGGATGCCTGCCATAGATGTGGGCGAAACGTCAGGAGAGAATGCTTCTGAAACATGGCCATACAGCCTGGAAAACTCACAGCAACCGAAAGTGCAAGAAGGTTTGAGAGTGGCCAAGTAAGCCAAACAGCAGAGATGGAAAAGCTTGTAATATGTAGCTAATATTTTTATATATGCAATTTATTACAAAAATAAGTTTTTGTACTATAGTAAGAGGAGGAAACGACCAAAGGAAAACAAAAAGGAGGTTCTCAAGCAAGGGTGGGTCTACATTATAGAATTAATGCAGATTGGGACCATGGCTCAATGCCATGGGATCAAGGGAGCTGTAGTTTCACATAGTCTTTGGCCTTCTCTAACAAAAGAGTGCAGGTAACTTCCCAAACTACAACTCCTAGGATTCCACAACATTGAGCCATGGCAGTTCAAGTGGTTCCAAAACTGGATTAATTCTGCAGTGTAGCTGCACCCCAAGATGCCACTGTCATCTCAAGATTGCAGGAAAGAATCCAAACTACAACTCCCAGGGTTCCATATCAATGAGCCCTGGCCATTCAAGTGGTTCCAAAACTGGATTAATTCTACAATGTAGCTGCACCCCAAGTTGCCACTGTCATCTTAGGATTGCAGGAAAGAATCCAAACTACAACTCCCAAGATTCCATAGCAATGAGCCATGGCCATTCAAGTGGTTCCAAAACTGGATTAACTCTGCAGTGTAGCTGCACCCCAAACTGCATTAACTCTATAGTGTAGCTGCACCCCAAGTTGCCACCGCAATCTCAAGATTGCAGGAAAGAATCCAAACTACAACTCCCAGGGTTCCATAGCAATGAGCCATAGCGGTTCAAGTGGTTCCAAAACTGCATTAACTCTATAGTGTAGCTGCACCCCAAGTTGCCACTCTCATCTCAGGATTGCAGGAATGAAACCCAATCCGCAAGCGAGTCCTCCAATGCGGTTCCTTGGCCACTCTCTAGTGTTTCATTCATTTCCATTATGCAGGGAAATATAGTTTGCAGGTAGTGCTGGTCCACCTGGGAAAAGGGACACGGCAGGAAGTCCCGCCGTAATCAGACAGGATTAGGATCACTGTCACATGAACTTCTCAAGAGGAAGCAGGGATCGTAAACGTCAACATTTCAGATGTTTGCAGACACGAGAAGGTCAAAGCAGGACGACTCTTCCACCGCGGCAGGAGAAGACAGCAACCGAATAGCATTGATTTGTTCCATCTGCGGGGTGGAAAAACAGAGAAACACAACGCATGTTGACCTTGTTGGATCTGTTCCATCTCAGAAAGTTTCTCTCTCCATTCCAAGTTCCCAAACATATGTGGATTGGAATTGTTTCCAGCTTATGGAGACCCCAAGGCAGGCATGGGCAAACTTGGGCCCTCGAGGTGTTTTGGACTTCAACTCCCACAATTCCTAACAGCCGGTAGGCTGTTAGGAATTGTGGGAGTTGAAGTCCAAAACACCTCGAGGGCCCAAGTTTGCCCATGCCTGCCTTATGGCCTTTTCCAACTGTATGACCTCCAACCATAACGTTATTTTCAATGTATTCTCAATTCAATGAGACCTCACAACCTCTGAGGATGCTTGCCATAGATGCAGGTGAAACGTCAGGAGAGAATGCTTCTAGAACGTGGCCATATAGCCCGAAAAACCTACAACAACCCAACATTATTTTCGTCGCTACTTCATAACTGTAATTTTGCTACTCGTCATGTAAATATCTGAAATGCAGGATGTAGTTTCATTCACTGGACCAAATTTGGCACAAATTTGAATACTAGTGGGGTTGGGGGTGGGATTGATTTTGCCATTTGGGAGTTGTAGTTGCTAGGATTGATAGTTCACCTACAATCAAAGAGCATTCTGAACTCTACCAACGATGGAATTGAATTAAACTTGGCACACAGAACTCCCATGACCAACAGACAATACAAAAAGGGTTTGGTGGGCATTGACCTTGAGTTTGGGAGTTGTAGTTCACCTTTATCCAGAGAGCATTGTGGACTCAAACAATGATGGATCTGGACCAAACTTGGCACGAATACTCAACATGCCCAAATGTGAACATTGGTGGAATTTGGGAGAAATAGACCTTGACATTTGGGAGTTGTAGTTGCTGATATTTTTTGTTCATCTAAAATCAAAGAGCATTCTGAACTCTACTGATGTTGGAATTAAATTAAACTTGGCACCCATAACTCCCATGACCAACAGACAATACAAGAAGGGTTTGGTGGGCATTGACCTTGAGTTTGGGAGTTGTAGTTCACCTTTATCCAGAGAGCATTGTGGACTCAAACAATGATGGATCTGGACCAAACTTGGCACGAATACTCAACATGCCTAAATGTGAACACTGTTGGAATTTGGGGGAAATGGACCTTGACATTTGGGAGTTGTAGTTGCTGGAATTTTTAGTTCAGCTTCTATCAAAGAGCATTCTGAACCAAACCAATGATAGAATTGGGCCAAACTTCCCACACAGAACCCCCAGGACCAAAGAAAGTACTGTGTTTTCTGATGGTCTTTGGTGGACCCTCTGACACCCCTTGCGACCCCTCCCCAGGTAGAATTGGGCCAAATTTCCCACACGGAACCCCCATGTGTTGAAGGTACTCGCTAGCATGACCCTCCCTCCAGCCTTGCACACTCTCCCTCACCTGCACATGCAGGGGCGGCTCAACCCATTACGCAAAGTAAGCATTTGCAGTATAGTTTTGCCAAGGGGTTCTCTTGAGGCGCTCTTGGGGGAAAATAGACCTTGACATATGCGAGTTGTAGTTACTGGGACGTATAGTTCGCCTACAACCAAAGAGCATTCTGAACTCCACCAGTGATGGAATTGAACCAAATATGGCACACAGAACTCCCACAACGAACAGAAAATATATATCAATGATTGGTTGGGGCGGGCGCCAAAATACTGTTTGTTTACCATTGAAAATTACCTAGGGCCGCCTCTGCACACATGCATACCATGCTGCCATGCACCTATCATGCCTGTTGAGTATTCGGGCTTTTGGCACGAATACTCAACATGCCCAAATGTGAACACTAATGGAGTTTGGGGAAAATATGTAGTTTTGGGATTATTAGTTCACCTACAATCAAAGAGCATTCTAAACCCTACCAACAATACAATTGGGCCAAGCCTCCCACACAGAAGCCTCCTGCCTTGAAGGGACTTGCTGATGTGAGCCTCCCTCCAGCCTTGCATGCTCTCCCTCATCTGCACATGCGCAGGATGCTGCCATGTGCCAAACACATGCTCTCCCTTCAGCTGAGAGGCTGGCCAATCACAGCAGAGGAGGGCTTTTGATGGGTGGATTCGCCGTCTCTTTCCAAAAAGGAAGAGAAGGACTGGCGGAGAGATCTTCAGCCTTCTCTGCCAAAGCAGTTCCTAAGACCATCAGAAATGTATGTTTTCTGATGGTCTTTGGCGACCCCTCTGAAATCCCCTGGTGACCGCCTCCCAGTAGTCCTGACCCCTAGGTTGAGAAATGCTGTTGCCCTTCTTACCTGGATGATGATAAGTTTGCTGTCAATGCTCTCCCTCTCGCCCAATTCCTGCCCGACGCAGAGAGTAATCCGGCACTGGGGCATCGGACCCAAGCCCTGTTGGAACTGGTCCAGCGCTATGGGCAAAAAACACAAAGGAAGGGTCAATACAACAAGTCCTAATTCCTTGTCTTAAATTGCCTTCAAATTCCAACGACCATCAGAAACGTTGGGTGAGAAGAAACCCAAGGCCTGCGGGGCTGAATTTGGCTTTCAATGAAGATGAGTTTATTTATTCTGCCAATTCCGGAAACCTCCCAAAAGTAACGTTTCCAAGCTCTTGGTCTGACCTGCTTGGAAAGATTCGGTGCTGAACAGCTGGACGTAAGCGCCGTCCTTTAGGTTGCCATGCCCGTTGGGGCCGCGCCAGAAGACGTCGGCTTGGTCTCGGCACTGGATGAAGATCCCTTTGGAGTTGCAGGCCACCATCGCTCCCTTCTCCAGGTTCCTCAACAAGCGCAGAATGGCTTCCTGCTTTTGAGGGTCTTCTGTCTTGATGGGGGGCGGCAGGACCACCCGGCTCATGATGATGGCTGGCACTCCCGGTGGAAGGGCGGTGGAGGTGAGGAGAAATTCGTTTGCTGGGATCCACAGCAATTGCGTCCGAACGCCGCTGTAGAAGACGGACAGCAAGACAGAATCTTCTCCTACAAAGACGAGAAGAAGAGAAGAAGAGTAGTGTTGCATTGGAAGGAAGGTCTTAACTGGACCGGCACCATGGCTAACTGGTTGGCACTGGGATGCCCACCAGCATGATAGGATGCGTCTTCCCCCCTCATTGCACAGCTAAGAACAGGACTAGAATCAATGGTTCAATTTATAGCTTTAAGCCAGTGTTTCTCAACCTGGGGGTCAGGACCTCTGAGAGGGTCGTGAAGGGGTGTCAGAGGGGTCGCCAAAGACCATCAGAAAACACAATATTTTCTGTTGGGCATCAGGATTCTGTGTGGGAAGTTTGGCCCAATTCTATCATTTGTGGGGTTCAGAATGCTCTTTGATTGTAGGTGAACTATAAATTCCAGCAACTACAACTCCTAAATGTCAAGGTTTGTTTTCCCCAAACTCCACCAGTGCTCATATTTGGGCATATTGAGTATTTGTGCCAAATTTGGTTCAGGTCCATCATTGTTTGAGTCCACAGTACTCTCTGGATGTGGGTGAACTACAACTCGAAAACCCAAGGTCCATGCTCATCAAATCCTTCCAGTATTTTCTGTTGGTCATGGGAATTCTGAGTGCCAAGTTTGGTTCAATTCCATCATTGATGGAGTTCAGAATGCTCTTTGATTGCACGTTAACTATAAATCTCAGCAACTATAACTCCCAAATGATAAAAATCAATCCAGCCCCCGACCCCACCAGTATTCAAATGTGGGCGTATGGGGTATTTGTGCCAAATTTGGTCCGGTGAATGAAAATACATTCTGAATTTCAGATAATTACATTACATTTCAAACAGAGGCTGGATGGCCATCTGCTAGGGGTGCTTTGAATGCAATATTCCTGCTTCTTGGCAGGGGGTTGGACTGGATGGCCTATGAGGTCTCTTCCAACTCTATGATTCTATAATTCATAGCAGTAGCCAAAATTACAGTTACAAAGTAGCAATGAAAATAATTTTATGGTTGGGGGTCACCACAAAATGGTGGGCTGTATTAAGGGGTCACAGCATTAAGAAGGTTGAGAACCACTGCTTTAAGCGAAACTTCATTTCAGTGGAATCAAAAATGAAAATAAAGGGAGGTGGATTGATAAAATAATAGTATTGAGAAACAAAGTGGAAAGACTGTAAGATGCTATGCAGAAAGGAATGGTAGAAATTTAGTAAATAATAATACAGTAAACAAGCTATATATCAGGCATGGGCAAACTTGGGCCCTCCAGGTGTTTTGCACTTCAATTTCCACAATGAGCTCCAGCTCCTCATGCGGGGACATGAGAGAAGCCTCCCACAAGGGTGATAAAACATCAAAACATCCGGGCGTCCCCTGGGCAACGTCCTTGCAGACTGCCAATTCTCTCACACCAGAAGCGACTTGCAGTTTCTCAAGTCACTCCTGACACGACAAAAAAAAAAATCTTTTTGGTTCTCAAATAGTAATTAAATGATTGCCAGTCTGTTTGAATTTTTGGTTTTCCTTGCTGTGTTGTTATCAAATATGACAATCTATCCATACTCATGATCTCCAGTATTTTGATTAACCATTGATCAATTGAAGGTATTTCTTTGGTTCTTTGGTTCTAGCATAGACTATCTGTTACACTCCAGAACAGGAATAATCTTCTGACTTTAAACACCGCATGTTGAATAGGAAAAAAAACAATCCTTTTATTGAAGACTAGCTGTGCCTGCCATGCATTGCTGTGGCCAACCTTCCCTCCCTCTTTCTCTCCTCCTTTCTCTCTCTCCTTCCTTTCATTCCTCTTTCCTTCCTTTCTTCCCTTTTTTTCTTTCATTTTCTCTTCCCTTCCTTCCCTTTTCTCTCCCTTCCTCTTTCTCCCCTTTCTTCCTTCTCTATTTATTCTTGGACTGCAACTCCCAGCAGTCCTTCTTATCAATCAATCTATCTACCTACCTATCTCTATCTAATCTATCTATCCATCTATCCATCTATCCATCTATCCATCTATCCATCTATCCATCTATCCATCTATCCATCTATCCATCTATCCATCTATCCATCCATCCATCCATCCATCCATCCATCCCCATCCATCCATCCATCCATCCATCTCCAATCTATCTTTATCCTAGCTATCTTATCTATCTGGAGGATTGATGGGAGTTGCAGTCCAGGAATAGGAAATTGGAAATATGCAGGGATTGGGATGCTCTCAAAGAAATCCAAGGAGATGAAAAAGCTTGCATCTTGGAAGCAGTGCACTTGGATCATCCTCCTCTACTAAAGGGCTGGTCTAGGGGATGCTGGGAGCTGTAGTCCAGAAGAGAGTGTGGATATGCCATTGTGTGTTCTGTTTAATTGGGGGGGGGGGTAGTTTTTGTGCATGTGCTGTAGCTTCTTTTTTTTGGCCTTTTAAGTCCTTCTGTTGTTTTTCAGTGTTTTTATGAGTGATGGTCACTCATTGGCCTGATAGGTGTATTGCGTCCAAATTTGGTGTCAATTCGTTCAGTGGTTTTCGAGTTGTTAATCCCACAAATGAACATTACTAAGTTCTTGTGGGTTTTTTCGGGCTATATGGCCATGTTCTAGAGGCATTTCTCCTGACGTTTCGCCTGCATCTATGGCAAGCATCCTCAGAGGTAGCCATAGATGCTTGCCATAGATGCAGGCGAATCAGGAGAAATGCCTCTAGAACATGGCCATATAGCCCGAAAAAAACTCACAAGAACACAGTGATTCCAGCCATGAAAGCCTTCAACAATACAATGAACATTACATTTTTATTTATATAAGATAGGTAAAAAACAGCAAAGTTAAAAAGCACTTTAAAGAAATAGGTAAATCCAATTTGGTAAGAAGATAAGCAGGAACAAATTAGTCGAAGGTAGAGTTCAGCAACGTCCACACATCTCTAATACAATCCAAAAATCAGAAATACATTGATCCAAGGCTTGGGTAAGCAATCATGAACTATAGGAATCCAAAACCATGAACAAGACATATCTTAGCATGAAACTTCAAAGCAAGGTTTCCATAAAAAACAAAGATGAGAACTTGGCGTGATTCTAAACAATGCTTCATCTGACTACACATCCCAAAACTGAGACTTTTATCCCCTCATTAGCTAGGTTACTAGCGGTCAGAAACTTGTTTTCTCTTTAATTGAGGTTTTATTATTATTTTATGTCGAAGCCAGGCAGATCGGCGAAACCACTGTTCAGCCCTCCTGTTTTGACTAATCTCTTCTCGCCTATCTCTTGGCTCGTTATCTACTTGCTCATTAATTTCTGCAGGTGCGGAGCTATCTTTCTGTTCTCTCTCATGGGAACCTTCTGGTAACAATTCAAGCACACTATCATCCCCAAACCCCTCAAGGACATACTCCTGGGAAACTACAGGGATCTCCTGGGCTCTCCAGGCCATTGGAGACTCCACCTCAGACATCAGAAGAGCTGCAAGACCAAGAACAAGCCACAAGAGTCAAGACAAAGATCCACCCAGAGGAAAAGTGTTCTTGCCAGACATCAAGGGAACCACTGACCGCATAGGGAAGAGGATGAGGAAACACAACATACAAACTATCTACAGACCCACCAAGAAAGTCCAACAAATGCTACGTTCAGCAAAGGACAAGAGGGATCCTCTCACTTCTGCAGGAGTCTACCGTGTACCATGCAGCTGTGAACAAGTCTACAGAGGGACCACCAAACGCAGCGTTGCCCAAACACGCATCAAGGAACATGAAAGGCACTGCAGACTACTTCAACCAGAGAAGTCAGCCATAGCAGAGCACCGGATGAACCAACCTGGACACAGCATATTATTTGAGAACACAGAAATGCTGGGCCACTCTCACAACCACCATGTCAGGCTACACAGAGAAGCCATTGAAATCCACAAGCATGTGGACATCTTCAACAGAAAGGAGGAAACCATGAAAATGAACAAAATCTGGCTACCAGTATTAAAAAAAACTCTAAAATTAGAACAGCACAACAACAGAGAGGAAACAAACAAGGACATCTAATCGTCTCTCATCAAAAGATTGCTCCAGGCACTGCCAGGCAGTCAAATGCTAATCAAGGTGATCAGTTGAAACATTCACACCTGGCTCCAGCAGACAAGAGTCCTTTGTCCCACCCTGGTCATTCCACAGATATATAAACCCCCTTTTCCTATTTCCAACAGACCTCACAACCTCTGAGGATGCTTGCCATAGATGCAGGCGAAACGTCAGGAGAAAATGCCTTTAGAACATGGCCATATAGCCCAAAAAAACCTACAACAACCCAAATCTCCTGATAGTTATCTGCATCAATATCACTGACCAAACCATTGCCATCTTGAAACTCATCTTGAACCTGCTTGACACCCTGATCCTGAAAGACAATCACAGGCTGAGCTACTACACTATCCTTGCCACTGTTACTAAGTAGTTGAATAATATCTCTTTGATGTATTGTCGAAGGCTTTCATGGCCGGAATTACTGGGTTGTTGTAGGTTTTTCGGGCTATATGGCCACGTTCTAGAAGCATTCTCTCCTGACGTTTCACCTGCATCTATGGCAAGCATCCTCAGAGGTAGTGAGGTCTGTTGGAACTAGGAAAAAGGGTTCATATATCTGTGGAATGACCAGGGTGAGACAAAGGACTCTTGTCTGATGGAGCTAGGTGTGAATGTTTCAACTGACCACCTTGATTAGCATATAATTGCCTGACAGTGCCTAGAGCAAACTTTTGTTGAGAGGTGATTAGATGTCCTTGTTTGTTTTCTCTCTGTTGTTTTGCTGTTGTAATTTTAGAGTTTTTTTTTTAATACTGGTAGCCAGATTTTGTTCATTTTCATGGTTTCCTTCTTTCTGTTAAAATTGTCCACATGCTTGTGTATTTCAATGGCTGTGTAATTATTGTATTGTTTTTAAGTGTTTTTTGCACTACAAATAAGATATGTGCAGTGTGCATAGGAATTGATTCATTTTTTTTTCAAATTATAAACCGGCCCTCCAACAGTTTGAGGGGCTGGAACCTGGCCCTCTGTATAAAAGGTTTGAGGAGGCAAAGATATATAAACCCTTTTTCCTAGTTCCAACAGACCTCACTACCTCTGAGGATGCTTGCCATAGATGCAGGCGAAACGTCAGGAGAGAATGCCTCTAGACCATGGCCATATAGCCCAAAAAACCTACAACAACCCAATATCTCTTTGGGTTTTCTTTCTTTTTCTATATTCAGCATTCCTAGGAGGTAGCATTTTCTTTTTATTTGATTGTAAAAACTCAATTAAAAATTAAATTAAAAAATAAAAATAAACTTTATATTGGTAAAGTGGGGGGGGGGGGTCCAGAGCAAGATAGGCTCACCCAAAAGAGAATGGAAGGAGAGGGACCCAAAAGAAACAAGGACCAGCAAGGCACTATTCTATGAAAATAATAGCTTTTCGAGACCACTTTCTATATCCAAATCAGTCCAGAAATTTTGTGTTGTTGTACTATCATTTAAAGACATGGGGATGATAGGGGTGGTAGTATTGCAACGAAGCACATTTATAGTGTGACATAACAGCGAAGGGACCCATTTGGGGATCTCACCTGTTCCGACAACATTAATGCCCGCTGGCAAGGCAGGAACCAGGTTCAAGCAGAAAGTGTTCTTCTCCACCTCTGCTGCTCGGGCAAAAAAGAGAAGCAACAGGAAATTAAAAACTTGGGGAGCAACGTGCCTTTTTGCAAACCCACCAACTCCTTTCTGACACAAAAGCTGCCATGTTTCCAGTTTATTTGGTGCATTTTGCAAACCCACCAGCTCCTTTCTGACACAAAAGCTGCCAAATTTCCAGTTTATTTGGTGCAGGAAAACTTGGGAGACTGTTCTGGGGGGATTGCATAAGGATAATAATAATAAAAACAACAACAGCAGCAACTGGAAAAGCTGACAAAATACGAGGATTTAAAGATCAAACTGCAAAGACTCTGGCACAAGCCAGTCAAGGTGGTCCCAGTGGTGATCGGCACACTGGGTGCAGTGCCTCAAGACCTTGGCCTGCACTTAAAAACAATTGGGGCTGACAAAATTACTAGGGAAGTGTACAAGGTGTGATTAAATACAAAAGCCAGTATAGTAATCTTGTTTGCTGTGCACTAATCTTGTTGTGTATCAAATAATAATGGGATTTTGGCCTGCATTAATAGGTGTCTAGTGCCTAGATCCAGGGAAATCAAGCTACCCCTCTATTATGCCTTGATCAAATGATGATGATGATGATGATGATGATTATTATTATTATTATCATCATTATCAAACTGCAAAGACGCTGGCACAAGCCAGTCAAGGTGGTCCCAGTGGTGATCGGCACACTGGGTGCAGTGCCTAAAGACCTTGGCCTGCACTTAAACACAATCGGTGCTGACAAAATTACCATCTGTCAGCTGCAGAAGGCCACCTTACTGGGATCTGCACGCATTATTCGCCGATACATCACACAGTCCTAGACACTTGGGAAGTGTCCGACGTGTGATCTAATACAACAGCCAGCAGAGTGATCTTGTCTGCTGTGGACTCATCTTGTTGTGTTTCAAATAATAATAATAATAATAATAATAATAATAATAATAATAATAATAATAAATCGAACTGCAAAGACTCCGGCACAAACCAGTAAAGGTGGTCCCAATGGTGATCGACACACTGGGCGCAGCACCTAAAGACCTTGGCCTGCACTTAAACACAATAATAATAATAATAATAATAATAGAATCGCTCTAAGTATGTGCAGAGTGCCTTTCACCCACTGGTGAATAAACACAGTCAACCAACTACATCTGGAGTAAGGATAACATTACTGCCTAGTACATCAAAACTGAAATAGGGACTGTTCCATTATCCAGATGGACTCAAAAAGGGGTCTAGACCAGGTCTGGGCAAACTTGGGCCCTCCAGGTGTTTTGGACTCCAACTCCCATCATTCCTAACAGCCTCAGGCCCATTCCTTTTCCCCCTCAGCCGCTTAAGCGGCTGAGGGGGAAAAGGAATGGGCCTGAGGCTGTTAGGAATGATGGGAGTTGGAGTCCAAAACATCTGGAGGGCCAAAGTTTGCCCATGCCTGCTGTAGATGCAACTTAAGAGGGACCTAATGTATAGGGAAAAGGGACTTTCTCCCACCTGGTTCACCCGGTTCAGGGCTGTTCTCCACTTTCAGGTAAGCAGAAGAGCCCATGGCATTTGGCGTGTGGCTTGCCATAGCTTCCGGGCCGGAGCTCTCCTCCTGCGGGAAACACAAGTGACAGATATCACGACATGTTAATAACATGATCCCACTCAAAATCCCACCCACGGTGGTCCTATCCTTCATATAAGAGTATACAGTAGGCTCATTAAATCAGTGAAGGTTGTCGAAGGCTTTCATGGCCGGAATCACTGAGTTGCTGTATGGCCATGTTCCAGAAGCATTCTCTCCTGATGTTTCGCCCACATCTATGGCAGGCATCCTCAGAAGTTGTGAGGTCTGTTGGAAACTAGGCAAGTGGGGTTTATATATCTGTGGAATGATGTCCAGGATGAGAGAAAGAACTCTTGTCTATTGGAGGCAAGTGTGAATGTTGCAATTGGCCAGCTTGATTAGCATTGAATGGCTTTGCAGCTTCAAAGCCTGCACTTGCTAGACATCAAGAAAAAAATCTTTTGGAGGGGATTGACAAGCTGGAATGTGTCCAGAGGAGGGTGGCTAAAATGATCAAGGGTCTGGAGAACAAGCCCTATGAGGAGCGGCTTAAAGAGCTGGGCATGTTTAGCTGGCTGAGAGTAGACATGATAGCCATGTATAAATATGTGAGAGGAAGTCATAGGGAGGAGGGAGCAAGCTTGTTTTCTGCTTTTCTGGAGACTAGGATGCGGAACAATGGCTTCAAACTACAAGAGAGGAGATTCCATCAGAACATGAGGAAGAACGTCCTGACTGTGAGAGGCGTTCAGCAGTGGAACTCTCTGCCCCGGAGTGTGGTGGAGGCTCCTTCTTTGGAAGCTTTTAAGCAGAGGCTAGATGGCCATCTGTCAGGGGTGCTTTGAATGCAATATTCCTGCTTCTTGGCAGGGGGTTGGACTGGATGGCCCATGAGGTCTCTTCCAACTCTATGATTCTATGTGTAACAACAACAAGAACACATTAATGCATACCATGGATGTTAATTCTATTTTAATGTTTATATATTTGGATTTTGAATCGTATTGAAATGCTTTGAATGTCAGCCCCTTTGAGTCTCCTTTCCAGAGAGAAAAAGTGGTGTATAAATAAACACAACAACAACAAGGAATCTGTTGCTACTAGGGGTTTACAATAGGCTTTTCTAAGTAACGGGCAGGATCAGAATCTTTTCTGTTACAAGTTAATTGGGTGTGTTATCTGCTTCAGCATGTAACAGGGCACTAGATTTGCTTTGAGCTTTTCATAGAATCATAGAATCAAAGAATCAAAGAGTTGGAAGAGACCTCCTGGGCCATCCAGTCCAACCCCATTCTGCCATCCAGCCTCTGTTTAAAAGCTTCCAAAGAAGGAGCCTCCACCACACTCCGGGGCAGAGAGTTCCACTGCTGAACGGCTCTCACAGTCAGGAAGTTCTTCCTCATGTTCAGATGGAATCTCCTTTCTTGTAGTTTGAAGCCATTGTTCCGCGTCCTTGTCTCCAGGGAAGCAGAAAACAAGCTTGCTCCCTCCTCCGTGGCTTCCTCTCACATATTTATACATTGTTATCATATAGCCAATAAGCATTTGGCTTAGCTTAATGGCTTGCTTGAAATGAAACTTTTGGCTGTTGCTGGGAGTGGTTATGCAGCATCCTGAAGCTGAAGTTTGGAGTGCCAAGGAAACTGCTTGTTTATGGCAAGATAAGAAGAGTCTACTGATAACTAAGTAGAGAGATTGTATTATTTTGCTAGGTGTTTGCATACTGTCGTGTAAAGAAAACTCATCGGATATACTGTTTATTTTTTTATATAAATTTATTTTGGGCTTTTATATCCTGTCCTATCTCAACCTCTGAAGAGGGACTCAGGATGACTTGTTTGTTGTATATTGGTGTGAACAATTTTTCTGTTTTTGCTTTATGTTTTTGACCTACAATGAGTAGAACTATATTTTTGTTTCTACTTAAAGTAACAGACTCATGTGTATTTTTTGAGTTTTTATCACATTGAGAGTAAAAGGGGCTGAGACATTCTGTGGGCTACTAATGCTATTCTTACAGAATCCACTACACAAACTGGGCTGGAGGGACGAAACCCTTCCCTTCTTTCGTACTTACCATTTTGATCATTGAAAGGGACCCGACAGGCTGAATAATGTTCTCTATGGGATCACTGGGTTTTATGGATCGTCCGGCCTTTGTCTTCTTCGATGTCTCAGTTTTACACCCTTAAGAGGAGAAAGGAGAGGCGCATGGAAGGAGGAAATACTAAGTACACTCTCCAAGGGATCTGAAGATGCATCTACACTGTAGAGTTAATGCACTTTGGTACCACTTTAACTGCTATGGCTCAAGGCTACAGAATCCTGGGATTGGAGGTTTGGCTTCCTTACCTGCCAGCTGCTCAGACACCGGCACCAAACGATAGACCTTGTAAGGCTCGGCGATGTCCAACCTCGAACGCTCCGGCATCTCCTCGAACTCCGAACTCTTGCTCAAAGCGCACCGGACGCGGGTCTTCCAAGTTGCAGGGTCGTTGGAGTTGCACTTGCCTTTAAAGACGGCCCAAGCCTGAGAAATCAAAAGAAAGGATCGAACCAGCCGAACTGTTCTTCAAGAGGAACTATTTCAGATGAAGGGTGCGTCTACAATATATAATTAATGCAGTTTGACGCCACTTGCAACTCCCATGGCACTATGCTATGGAATCCTGGGAATTATCCTCGAAGGCCTTGAACCAAAAGGCAATTAATGTCGGTACTGTGGTTTAATATGTTATGAGTATACTTTGTGAAAAGTGGATAAATAGAATACCTATATGAGAAGTATTACACTACTCTATACCATACACCCTCTTTCCTGTCTATTGCATATTATAGACATCTGTGTGTTTAGTTATGCAATGCTGTGGCCCAGTCTGTGTATATGTGTTTTGTGTGTATATATATGTGCTTATGTGTGTGTATATTTTTGTGTATATATGTGTGTTTGTATATATATGTGTGTGTGTATATATTTGTGTATTTGTGTGTTTATATGTGTGCATGCATATTGTATATATGTGTGTGCTTGTCTATATGCCTATTTGTGTGTATATGTGTGTATGTGTGTGTATACTTGTGGGTGTTTGTGCATATATATATATATATATCTATATATATATATATACTCACACACATACATATGTGGGTGTGTATGAATGTGTGCATGTGTATATGTATATAAGTGTATATGTATACATTGTGTTTTTTTGGGTTTTTAAGTCTGTTCCACTGTGGTTTTGTGTGTGTGTGTGTGTGTGTGTGTTTAGGGCTGATGGATATTCGTTGGACTGTTAGGTGTATTGCGTCCAAATTTCGTGTCAATTTCTCCAGTGGTTTTTGAGTTCTGTTAATCCCACAAACAAACATTACATTTTTATTTAAATAGACTAGCCATCCCCTGCCACGCATTGCTGTGGCCTACATAGGGGTTCTGTGTGGGAGGTTTGGCCCAATTCTCTCATTGGTGGGGTTCAGAATGCTCTGTGATTGTAGGTGAACTATAAATCCTAGCAACTACAACTCCCAAATGTCAAGATTCTATTTCCCCCAAACTCCACAAGTGTTCACATTTGGGCATATTGAGTATTCGTGTAGAGTTTGGTCCAGATCCATCATTGTTTGAGTCCGCAGTGATGTTTGGATGTAGGTGAACTGCAACTCCAAAACCAAAGGACACTGCCCACCAAACCCTTCCAGTATTTTCTGTTGGTCATGGGAGAGCTGTGTGCCAAGTTTGGCTCAATTCCATCGTTGGTGGGGTTCAGAATGCTCTTTGATTGTAGGTGAATTATAAATCCCAGCAACTACAACTCCCAAATTACGAAATCAATTTTTTTTGAGTGAAGGACATACATTGGGTTGTTAGGTGCCTTGTGTCCAAATTTGGTGTCAATTCCCCCAGTGGTTTTTGAGTTCTGTTAATCCCACAAACGAATATTACATTTTTATCTATATAGATAGTTTAAACTCTGTGTTCGGTGTAGAAACGTAATACTGTGCAAGGGTTAAATGCACAGACCTATGATTTATGTAGAACTTTGGACAGTTCCTGTTGCGTCATACATTCCAGAGATGTGGTAACAGCACATGTTCTCTTGCAGCAATGTATGGCTAAGAGGAAAGATGTGTCTTTGGCTACTCCTGTATATAGTTTTGTAGTTTTTTTTAGAAATAGCAATAAATCTTTAAGTGCCAGGCTTGGAGCTGATTGAAGATAGCACACTTCATTGATTTATTTTTGTGCCTCTTAGCAGTTGCTCCGAGGTCAATAAACTTGAGAGTTAAAGTGGTGTAATTATTAATTCTACAGTGTAGACTCAGCCTACGTGGATTTCCCCATAGTTCAGTGGTCCTCAATGTTCCTAATGCCGCGACCTCTTAATACCGTTCCTCATGTTGTGGTGACCCCCAGCCGTTACATTATTTTCATTACTACTTCATAATTGTAATTTTGCTCCTGTTATGAATCGTTATGTAAATATCTGATATGCAGGATGTATTCTTATTCACTGGACCAAATTTGGCACAAATACCCAATATGCCCTAATTTGAATACTGGTGGGGTTGGGATGGGAGGATTGATTTTGTCATTTGGGAGTTGTAGTTGCTGGGATTTATAGTTCACCTACAATCCAAGAGCATTCTGAACTATACCAACGATGGAATTGGACCAAATTTGGCACAGAGAACTCCCATGACCAACGGAAAATACTGGAAGGGTTTGGTGGGCATTGACCTTGAGTTTGGGAGATGTAGTTTGCCTACACCCAGAGAGCACTGTGGATTCAAACAATGATGGATCTGGATCAAACTTGGCACGAATATTCAATCTGCCCAAATGTGAACACTGGTGGAGTTTGGGGGAAATAGACCTTGACATTTGGGAGTTGTAGTTGCTGGGATTTATAGTTCACCTACAACCAAAGAGCATTCAGAAGCCCACCAACGATAGAATTAGGCCAAACTTCCCACACAGAACCCCCATGACCAACAAAAAACTGTCTGTGATGGTCTTTGGCGACCCCTCTTACACCCCCTCGCGACCCCTCCAGGGGTCCCGACCCCCAGGTTGAGAACCACTGCCATAGTTTATTCCCTGTTGTATGTTCTGGAACGGGCACAGACACTTTGGGATTTGTTTCAGAGACGAAAGTGGGGTAACAACAACAACAATAACACAAAATCCAAATGATGTGCTTTGAACTGGATTATCATTTAGTGTAGACTAGGCCTGGGCCAACTTGGGCCCTCCAGGTGTTTTGGACTTCAACTCCCACAACACCTGGAGGGCCCAGGCCTGCATTAGAACCTAAGTGGTCAGTGTTGATGTAAACAAGGAATGCAGTACCTTGAAAAACCCGGCGTCTTCATCATGTCGGAACTCATGTTTCCCGGCATGTTTCCATGGGATGCGGAACATGGTCTTGGCCGGCGGATCGTCCCAAACGAGACCGGGGAATTTCCCGCTCTCCACTTGCTCCACCGTCCACTGGCGCAACTGCCGGGTCCTGCGCATGCCTTTCCGTGGCGTCGCCATTGGTGGAGAGGAAAAGGGTTGCAGCAAGGGAGGAAAGTGGGGGAAATCCTGAAAGAAGAGGGAAAACAACATCACAATCATCATCATCCTTTGTGGTGTCAAACTGCATTAATTATCCAATGTACACACACCTACTAGAGAGAGAGAGAGAGTCCACTATTGTCTTAGGCTGGATCTAAACCAGGTGTGTACTAAACCAGGTGTATAATCAGGCATGGGCAAACTTGGGCCCTCCAGGTGTTTTGGACTCCAACTCCCACAACTTCTGGTGGAGTTTGAGGAAAATAGACCTTGACATTTGGAAATTGTAGTTGCTGGGATTTATAGTTCACTTACAATCAAAGAGCATTCTGAACCCCACCAACGATGGAATTGAACCAAACTTGGCTCACGGAACTCCCATGACCAACAGTAAATATTGGAAGGGTCTGGTGGGTGTTGACCTTGAATTTTGGAGTTGTAGTTCGCCTACATCCAGAGAGCCCTGTGGACTCAAACAATGATGGATCTGGACCAAACTTGGCACGAATACTCAGTATGTCCAAATGTGAACACTGGTGGAGTTTGAGGAAAATAGACCTTGACATTTGGGAGTTGTGGGTTGCTGGGATTTATAGTTCACCAACAATCAGAGAATATTCTGAACTCTACCAACGATGGAATTGAACCAAACTTGGCACACAGAACTCCCATGACCAACAGTAAATATTGGAAGGGTATGGTGGGCATTGACCTTGAGTTTTGGAGTTGTAGTTCACCTACATCCAGAGAGCACTGTGGGCTCAAACTATGATAGATCTGGACCGAACTTGGCACGAATATTCAGTATGCCCAAATGTGAACACTGGTGGAGTTTGGGGAAAATAGACCTTGACATTTGAGAGTTGTAGTTGCTGGGATTTCTAGTTCCCCTACAATCAAAGAGCATTCTGAACCAAACCAATGATAGATCTGGACTAAACTTGGCACAAATACTCAATATGTTCCCAATGTGAACACTGGTGGAGTTTGGAGAAAATAGACCTTGACATTTGAGAGTTGTAGTTGCTGGGATTTCTAGTTCACCTACAATCAAAGAGCATTCTGAACCAAACCAATGATAGAATTGGGCCAAACTTCCCACACAGAAACCCCAGGACCAACAGACAGTACTATGTTTTCTGATGGTCTTTGGTGGCCCCTCTGACATCCCCTTGCAACCCCTCCCCAGGGGTCCCGGACCCCAGGTTGAGAAACACTGGTGTAGATGTAGCCCGAGAAATTGTTTCCTTATCTAAGAAGTGCCTGCATGGCCACACCAAAAGAAGGCACAGACATGGAGTGGGCGTCCGCACCGCAAGTACCAGGAAGTTAGAATAAAACAAAGATAATGACATCAACTTGAACTTTCGGAGAGGAGAGAGACGTAGGTCTTGGCAAAACTACAAAGCAAATATAAGTGGTGGGAGACAAAAGAAAGGAAAGGAAGGGGGGGAAAGAAGGAGAATCACAGTGTACTTGGGTTGACAAATCAGCCTTTGATGAAGGATCTCCTTTCTGCAAAGCCACCTAAAAGCGCATCTACATCGGAGACTTAATGCAGTTTGATACCACTACGAGCTCCTCCCCCACAAATATATTTTTTTCATTGCTATCTCATCCAGAGTTTTATCATTTTATGTTGTGCATTTGGTCCGGCAACTGTGTTTGATTTTCCATTATGTTATTTTGTACTGTTTATTTTACTTGAATTGCTTATTTATTTTATTGCGATGTTATTTTTGTTGTTTATATTTTATTTTGTTGTAATGTATTGCTGGGATTGGCCTCATGTAGGCAGCTCCGAGTCCCCTTTGAGGAGATGGTGGCAGGGTATAAATAAAGATTATTATTATTATTATTATTATTATTATTATTATTATTATTCGGACACAAAAACTCAGTATGTCACAGCAAATGAGATCTATATGTTGGATATTATTATTATTATTATTTTACTGACACAAAAACACAGTGTGTCACAGCAAAGGAGATCTATATGTTGGATATTATTATTATTATTATTATTATTATTATTATTATTATTTTACTGACACAAAAACACAGTATGTCACAGCAAATGAGATCTATATGTTGGATATTATTATTATTATTATTATTTTACTGACACAAAAACACAGTGTGTCACAGCAAAGGCGATCTATATGCTGGATATTATTATTATTATTATTATTATTATTATTATTTTACTGACAAAAACACAGTATGTCACAGCAAATGAGATCTATATGCTGGATATTATTATTATTATTTACTGATACAAAAGCACAGTATGTCACAGCAAATGAGATCTATATGCTGGATATTATTATTATTATTATTATTATTATTATTTTAGTGACACAAAAACACAATATGTCACAGCAAACGAGATCTATATGCTGGATTTCGTATCACAAAATCACAAGTCGAATACTTGTTTATTATTATTATTATTATTATTATTATTATTATTATTATTAATGTTACGGAGTCATGGGATTTGTAGTTTTACATTTTGCCTTCTCTGACCAAGAGTGCTGGTGCCTCACTAAACTATAACTCACAGCATTCCATAGCATTGAGTTATGGCAGCTAAAGTGGTGTCAAACTGGATTAATTGTCCAATGTAGACACACATACTACAGAGAGAGAGAGAGAATCCACTATTGTCTTAGGTTGGATCTAAACCAGGTGTGTACTAAACCAGGTGTGTAATCAGGCAAGGGCAAACTTGGTCCCTCCAGGTGTTTTGGACTCCAACTCCCACAATTCCTAACAGCCTACCGGCTGTTAGGAATTGTGGGAGTTGAAGTCCAAAACACCTGGAGGAACCAAGTTTGCCCTTGCCTGATCAACACTGACCATATAAGGCACTTTCTGAATCCAGATTATCAATTTTGAACCAGATTATGTGCGTCAACACTGCCATATAATCCAGTTCCAAGCAGACAATCTGGATTCAGAAACTGGATTATACGGTCAGTGTAAATGTCTAAAATTAGTCACATTCCCAAGAATAATGCACCCACAGTATCAATGCAACTCAGCAGTGACTAACACATTCCTATGATCTGGGATTAATAATTTACTTGCTTTGCATCCCATTTTTTCTCCTGACATGCGATGAATCACAACAGAGGAAAACAAAGGGCTGTCTAGTTTGCCAGGAGGAGTGTCCCACTTGTGCGAGAGCAAAGCAAAAGTTGGCCAAACCTCAAGGATTGTTGTAGTCGGTGGCTCATCCAAGCAGAAACAAATTGCCATGGATTCTATTGTGGAATTGCCTGTATCCTTTAAAAAAACCTAAATAGTCCACAATTCCTGTTCATCTATATATATAAAAAAGGACTTGTCGTCGTGAGTACCTTAAAAACAAAAGAACCACTGGGCCAATGGTTAGATTGTGCTTCTCCAATTTGCCAAAAGGGGCTGGACTGGATGGCCCTTGGGGGTCTCTTCCTATCCTAAGATTCCATTATTATAACTGTGTCACTCCTTTCCCCGGTGACCAGGGGAGCATTTGCACAGCTTAGGCTCGTGCGCCAGCTGCGCCCGTACCTTGGGAAGTCTGACTTGGCCACGGTAGTCCACGCTCTGGTTATATCCCGTTTAGACTACTGCAACACTCTCTACGTGGGGTTGCCCTTGAAGACGGCCCGGAAGCTTCAATTGGTCCAACGTGCGGCAGCCATGATACTAACAAGTTTGGTCTTGATCAGACATCAAGGGACGCAGGGAGCATACAACCCCCTTGTTGTACCAGCTCCACTGGCTGCCAATTTGCTACCGGGCTCAATTCAAGGCGCTGGCGTTGGCCTATAAAGCCCTAAATGGTTCCGGCCCAAGATACCTATCCGACCGCATCTCGACCTACGAGCCCACCAGGACTTTGAGATCTTCCGGGGAGGCCCTGCTCTCGATCCCGCCTGCCTCACAGGCACGGCTGGCGGGGACGAGAGATAGGGCCTTCTCGGTGGTGGCTCCTCGGCTGTGGAACGCCCTTCCTACGGACATTAGACTAGCACCATCTCTAATGGTATTCCGCAAAAAGGTGAAGACCTGGCTGTTTGAGCAGACGTTCGAATAATTAGTGCAATGATTGGTTAATGAACACTGGAATGGAACAATGGATGACGAATCTGGATCATGTTTTTGATGACGAGACGACAGTGAATGGGTATTGTAGTAACTGTTTATTAATTGTGTAATGTGTTAGGTTGTTAACTGTTTCTATACTGTAGCACTGAATTTTTGCTGTTCGTATTTGTTGTGAACCGCTGTGAGTCGCCTTCGGGCTGAGAACAGCAGTATATAAGTAAGGCAAATAAATAAATAAATAAAAACAATTATTATCCTTATTATTGATCATTATCATCATCATCATCATCATGATAATAAGAATAAGAATAATTTGCACCTTATACACTAAACCTGAAGGTAATTTAATGCAATTTTTAATAACTGTGTGAGATACACAGAGTGGGATGTTAATATTTATTTCTTATTAATATTGATATTTATTTCTTACCTGCCTCGAGCCACAAGGAGAGGCGGATAAGAAATAAAATTATTATTACTATTAATATACATCTTATACTATTATTATTATTATACAATATTT